CCAAAATGCCAGAAGCCACGAAGCTAAGCACTTAGGAACACTGCTGTCAAGAAGTCTGCGCTATTTAGAGCCTGACAACTACTCCAGTAATTTAGCACACTAAATTACAAAATATTTCAGAAGTTCTTTTTGACAGCAAGTCGAATATGGTCAAGATTATTTTGTCACGTTCAAGTTACAGTCCTCGGGCTAATGTGCTCTTAGACAATGTGGCACCTACCTACCAGGCAGTTCACACAACCCACAAGCAAGTGCAAAGTTTGAGGTTTAGCCAGATTAGTTTTCAGAATATTAGAGACATCAGAAATCTGCGTTCTGCTTCTTGAGACATCACAAAGTGATTCGAGTACAAAAGCACTATGAAAAATTATTTCTCCAGGGGGAAGATAAGCTTGGAAAATATTTTGTAGGTTTATACACTGGGGAGGCAGATCATTAAAATAATATTGTTTGATTAGGAAAAGAACCTTTAGAAATTTCACTCCAAATGGAAACCGAGTTATAGCAAAGTGAAATTACCAACTATCTCCTCATACAGCCCTTATTCAAAAGGATAAACACTTCCACTATGCACACGTTGCTCCAATTTTATCACCAAAGGTCTAGGCAGATTCCCACAAGCACAGCAGGAAAAATTAAAGTCCATTTCAAGATGTTATTCCAAAAAAAGGTTTTTCAAAAGCATTAGAAAAGTTGGTATAATTCCAACTGTCTGTTCCCAGCTACATATCCAAGTACCTGCTGCCATTAAATATCAACTACCTCACTCTAGATCATGACCAAATTAACCATTTTATCTTGGCCCAGCTAAGTGTCCACATAAACTTCATTCTCTTAACAACGCTCGTTGTAACTCCTACATTAATATCGACACTTCTACTGGCATCTCTCAGGTTAAACAAGTCATTATTAAATGAAATACAGTGTTCCAACACTAGCTTGATGTATGCCATTCTACACCTGAACGGCAGAACTTTAAAACCTGAAGGAGACTGCCTTGCTGAAAGCCCTGGAATGTTATAACAAAAACAGCAACTCAGTTACAATAATAAACCTTAACTGTTCATATGATACCATGTGCATTGCAACTAATTGCTAGTTATTTAATACTACCAGTATTATGTTGTAGGTATTAATGAAATAATCCAGTCTAAGTGTGTTTAAAAACCCACAGTGAATTCAGATTAAGCAGTGTAACCCACCTGCATTATGTGGATGCTCCACACAAATTCAAAGCAGTGCTGGCCTCATACACTGTAACTGCATCACAGCACCCAGATGCTCAAGCTAGACAGAGTTCTAGAAGCAGTCTGGGTACAGAAGCAGAGGTACTGAGGGGCTAAATTACCCTAGACAATATAATGTAGACCTGACCCTATTCTCTCAGGAAGAATTTCACCAATGTATAAAATAATGCAAACAAGAATTTCAGGATCACTAGAACTCTGAGTGCAACACAACACCTCACAAGAGAACAGGTTAGGGGGATATCCAAGGATGCTATGGTTAGAGATCTGCTACCCTGGTAACCCAAACAAGTCCAATCACTCTTCTAGCCCAGAAACCAGGATGGCAACAGGAGACAAGGAAGAAGCAATACTTCGTAGTGAGATCTGCCAAGAGATCAGACTCTTCATCATCACATAAGAACAATTAATTTTAACAAAAATTAAAATGCCAATAAAAGAGTGGTAACACATTTTTAGCTAGTCTCAAAAGCTACATATGAAACCACACATGCAGTCACGAGTAAATGAAGACCTTCATGCATAAGGTATCCAAGTTCCAATTCCTCTCAGTCTAAAAACTTGAGCACTACTAGATTAAGTATCGATCTAAATTTGTGATCATTCACCAAACCAGAAGCAAGCAACAAATAACATACTGCCCAAAGCCTCATTTACAGCAGTAGTACAACATTTTCCTTAAAGAACCTGCAACAAGTACCACATGGAAACAAAAATACCCCAAACCCTGAGGCAGTATCATTTAGGTTTTTAGGATGTAAATTTCAGTCATCCACTCACAGCTGGTAGATTATGCATATTGCCTAAATCATCACTGATTTTCAAGGAATCTGATTTCTGAAAACCTTTTCTCACTGTGTCATAGTGATAGCACATTGACAGCATCATTTTGGCCTTCCTTTGCTTTTTAGGACATGTTTTTACTGCCTATTCTCATCATCTGTTTATTTTTGGTTGGTTTTTTTTCTAAATACTGAAGCTGCCCTATCAGTTTCACAGGCTTATAAATGTTATACATCAAAAATTAGTTTCACTTATTAAGGCAGGAAACGGCTTTAAGAACTCTGGGATCTGTGCCTCAAAGCAAAAGCTTTATCAGCAGGTTCCAGTCACTGCTTCTTGCAAAAGAAAATGGTGCCGACTAAAACCCCATACACCTGATTTCAAAAAGAACACCTACCCACTGAACATTCTTCACATGGCTGCGAGGGGGGCTGCACCCCAAACAGAAGGCAGCTCCTTCTCACACACTCCCTGCCCCCGAACCCTGCAACACTGCTCAAGAAAACTGAAAACTATACATAAAAAGATGATGGTGAGATAAAGGAACAATAATTCATCCACTTATTTCTCTAGACTTCAGAAGTGGTGTACTTCAATAGTCATAGTGTGGCTCCACACCTGACCTGCTCTCAGCATTGTGTTGCACTTGGAAGTTAGAGGCATACAAATAGCCACATACTTTAAAAATAAACTCACTTCTTAGAAGTATTGCGTAAAATGAGTTTTAAAAGGGACATTTAACTTGCATAGTATTTATATAATCCCTACTTTCCTCCTCAATATGAAAGTATTTCATTAATTGCACTCATATACAAACACAGTGATTTTTGAACCAACATCTCCCATAATGAAATCCTTTGCTATAGCACTGCACTGAACCAGAACTAGCCACTGTTAGAATGAGTTCCTTAGAACAAAAAGTATTTTAAAGGGTCAATTAAAAGAAAATACAGCTTCGTAAAAACCACAAAGGAAAATGAATCTTGCAGTGGTTAATGCTGCACATCTTTACAACAGTAGAGAACTCCAGTGAATCCACATGGATTCTGCCTCAACAGAGCTCCTCATGAGATCAAGCCAGAGTCATTTGAGTTTTCCTTCCTTCAACATACTATTTATTCAGACAAACCCACTTAACCAAAACCAAGTGAAGGCTGTGAATACTAATAATGTTTCAAGCATTTTGATTTCAGAATTACAACATGCTAATATTTGAAAGTCAACAATTTGGAGCTAATGTTCCACAAATAATAATACATTGCAGTAGCACCTGGGATATGCTAGATGTTGTACAATCCCATGGCTACAAAAACCAGATTAACAGTTTATCATAAATATTACAAAACCTTAAAACTTCTTACATTAATTTGTTTTTATAGTCAAACAATTTGCACTAGAACCTCAGTATGTTTTATTGATTATGATACTCTAACCACTTTAGATGGGATAATGACATTTGTGAAGGAGAACTGCAAGGGTTTTTCATGTTGTATGCATGAAAAGTAATACAGCAGTATCACAGTGAGAAGCTGGTCCGAATTAAAGGGAAAATCAGGACACATTCCTATCACTGTCAATAGCTGTTATCTTTGAGGACTGAAGTTTTGTGATCACTGGTGAAAGGCAGGTAAAAGTCTAGTCATTGGAAACTGACCGGTGTGACTAAATACAGGAGTTTAATGATTGTGAAAGAACAATACCAAGGAACAGTTAGTTTTAGTTAACCTTAGTTAGGGAACCTTAAGAACTGTATTTCTGATTTCATAATACATCCGTTTTTAAAGCCATCACAATATTGTGTTATATTGTATTAAAAGACTTAAATCTGCACTCTTACATTAAAGCTTAGCTTAAAACCCTGTGATTAGGAAACATTTTAAGTATTTGTGTGAGAACGAGAAGTGTTCAGAATTTGTCTTTCCCTTCTTAATCCTTTTCCAATACCTTTGAATTTTGGTAGTATATATAGTGGACAGAAAACTTCCATTACCTCTGTGTGAAAGAGCATGCAAGATAGAGGAATGAAAGCAAGTACTACATAATTAATTTCTAATATAAATCTAGAATATTTATGATTTAAATTATATCAGATGACTTAAATATTATAGCTTCTCCACTCCTCTCAAATAGCTCTTACTTACTATTTTCTCAGCTGGCTTCAAAACTATTCCAACCATCTTTTTATCCTAATTTTCTTCCTTTGCTTTTTCTCCCCTGTGTACAAATAGAACAGCAACGAGCAGCAAAGCTCATAGAACTACTCAGATACACCAACCAACAAGACATTGTGAAAAAATAGAGTTTCTCACTTGTTTCTTTTTTTAGATAGGCATTTACATTACTAAAAATGATGACAAGGAGAAAAAAAAATCCATTCATTCTATAAGCATTGTTCTAAGGCTACAGCGATGTTTGACATCCATCTATTCCCATTCTTCAGAATTATTCCAGACATCAACTCCCAAGCGCATGAACATAATGGAAAAAAGCACTGGTGTACAAGTTTGGGTGTATTCATCCTTATTTGGGCACATCTTGCTCTATGCTACATCTCTACCTTTCTTCAGGCTTCCCAAGCTTATTGAAGAGGGAATGTGAATTGAAAACTAAGACACAACGAACAGACAGGACAAGAACATCCTACTGCTGTTTTCTTGGCTTGCAACATGCCGAAAAATCTAAAGTTCCATACAGATGACTAGTGACTGACTCCTCTGACTCACAGAGTCAGCATGAAGGCTTTAAAGCAAGGTTACTTAGGATTGTTCATGGTTGTATTTTCAGTTCTAATTCATAACTACAGGGTATCCAAGCATTACTAGATCAGCAGCAAAATCCTTCAATCACTGACAGAAATCTGCTTAAGAAACAGGAAAGATGCCCCAAACCATCTTCAGAGCTATTTTAGTTAAGACATTTTCTGCACAAAACTAAATGTTTTCTCAGAGCTTTTGTTAATCGCCCACTTACCTCACGAGCAGCTAATCTATCACTCAGCTCCTCAGCCTTATCAATGTCACCTTCAGCCACAGACTTCTCTATGCTAAGTTCAAGGCCAGACTAGAAAAAGAAAAGTAAATCTTTTTAGGACAAAAAGAAATAACACATTTAAAGGGAGCATCTTTCTTTCATAAGATTCTTTAAGACGCTGCATAAACCTGTAATTTCTATGTAACACAAATCACTTTGTCTATGTATTGTAATGGACAGTATAATTAAGAATTCACTGAAAGGCCGTCTGAGCACAAATCATTGCATTAGTTCCACCTCATGTGCAGGATAATACTGTAGGTTAAAAAAATTACACGGACTAGTTTATGCCTGTCACAATAAAATTTCATCTGAAGATCTGGCTTATCTCTTCCATCCCTGGAGCTTTCTAAACATAATGTGAAGTATATGTGTCAGGTAACACGAAGAATGGCAATTACCACTGTATCGTTATAGTTCTCAGATCTTATCTTGATCCAAAAACTGAGTTCTGGCACGGTGCCACTCTGCTGTGCTAATAAATTAAGAATTCTAGCAGTTCTATGGAAAACAATGAAAAAGCTTCAGAATTTAACCTCTGAGAATGACAAAATAACCTTTGTGATCAATAGAACTTGTTTTACAACAATATTTACAAGTAATGTAACAATAAAAAGTAAATGTTTACTGGAAATTATAGTCGGAAACTTCTGAAGGGTAGCATAGAAGGAGGCACCAGCTTCAGAACGTCACAGAGAACTCTCATAACAGACTTTACAGCCTCGCTGGTTTTAAATCTTAGCGATGCTGAAGCAAACACTTTTGACGGTTTTGTAACATACACTGTTTTTCAAAGATGAAAGCAAAAAAGCAATTCTTAAGAAACAGCAATCTGCAAACACTGCACTTGAATTACCCAGGTGGTAAAGTGCCCAACTGGAACTTGCAGTGACAGCCAATTCTGTTAGGTATCTTTCTGAAATTAAGGACACATACGTTCCACTAGTGATTAAATCTCTGGACTTGCATGAAGAACATCTGCTTTTTAACAGTTTGGGCCTCATTCTAGGTCTATCCTGCGCAGTGTAAGGACAACTAAATATCCACTAACAGCAAGAACTCAGGCAGAAGCAAACAATGTCTCCTGACTTGCATGCAGAAACTTACTTCAGGCAAATGAAAGTAAAAGAAATATCACAAAGGAGACTCACTGAACATTTCATGTCATAGAACTTACACAGGCCTTTACTAGAAGTACAGAACAGAGCTACAATGAACTCATAATGTGATGCATTTCTTAACTTGCTCATTGTGTTGCACCATTTATTTCAAATTATGCCTGGTTACACAATAGTATTCATGAACATAATGGGTTATAAATCCAGTAAAATTGTACAGTGGGTTTGGCTGTCTAATTCCTATAGCCCATGTTGTCAACCAAAGGATTTAGGTGACAAATTTTAAAGTTAAAATATGATTAAAACCAAAGAAAACAAAAATTTAAACAACACATGTGAAGTGTTTTGTGTCTTATGATACAGAACCAGACAGGAAGTGTGGATACTGTCACAAAAGAAAGCACAGCAGCTACTCTATTGAACTACAATTGATTAAATATATAAAAGGAAATTAACTTTAAAATGTACACAAAATTATCCTTCCTCAGTGTAACTTTATCATTTACTCACTTTTAAAGAGTCTCAGTTTTCCTCCTAACTCTATTAAGGCCAAGTTCTTTAACTGTGAAGTACAAGCTGACATTGCTTTTGTATCAACAGTCACCTTTTGGGGAGCCCTGCTATCCACAGGCGTTTCAAATCTATCATTGATTCCAAAGTATTGTGTAAGCTCTTTCCATTTCTCTTCATTTGCCAACTGCTGGCTACTAAAACCAAAGACACAAGAAGTCATTAATATAATCAGCTTCCTTTCCACAATTTGTAATATTCTTTTAAATGCTAAAAGAAACTCTTCCACCTGGCAGACATGCTCTTTTCACCCATTCAGTTTCTAACAGAAGTGAAATTAATTATTCCTTCCCTTCTTAATTCCAGAATCTTAAAAGCAAGCTTATAGACTCAAGAATCATTTGGGTTGGAAAAGACCCTTAAGATAACTGAGTCCAACCATAAGCCTAACCCTGCCAAGGAGGAAAAAGAAGAGCAGATGGAACAGGTTGAAGAGGAGCTTGTATGTTATCACATGCAAAACATATTTAGGAATAACATTAAGTCTATTTTAAGTTACATTCAGCACATTCGTGTTGATTTTTCAAATCAAGCAACCACTGGTATCACATTCAGCCTGCCCAACAAAGACACTGAACAACTGCAGCTGACATTTCACACCATGTTCAAAGCTATGGTCATGCATGTGCATTATAAGCTTTGCCCAATATTAAAACCAGACCTCAAATAATCACACTGACCAGTTTTACCTCTTAGTTGCGTCATCACTCTGTTTCTGTTTTCCTAGGAGGGGAAAGAATAAAATCCAACATTACACAGTAATACACTACAGCATCCAATGAAGTTACAGAACTCTACTTGGTCACATTTTATTTGAAAGACTGACACATGAGGATTTTTACCCAATGACCATGTGGTTTTAAACCACTTACTGCAAGACTTTTCATACAAAGAAACTCCTACAGTATCTGTGAAGACATTTTAACCAGAATACACAAAGTATGTTCTATAGAATTACTGAAATACACTTAACCATTATAAATCAGTATTAACTGAGCAAGTTTTATCTCCTTGTTAAGAAGGGGACAAGTACACGACTTGAACTTTAAGCAGCAACTCACAACCTAGTCCTACAAGTGATTCATACAACTGAAAAACAAAATCCTGGATAATAACTATAAAACATGAACTCGAGCATTCAAATCTTGATAAGAATCAAAAAAACAACATACAAGAAAAACCCAAAACCCCACAACTCTTCCCCCCTCGGCAAAGAAAAAGCCAAACAGATCAAAAACCCAACAACAGAACACCCAAACAAAAACAACATCCCTCCTCAAGCCTGCGAATCCCACTTCTAAAGTATTTATTACTAATTCCACTGTGAGGAAATAAATCCTGCTACTATATAAAACACCTTTTCTGCGGCGCTTTCTTTTCCGGCCTTTGCTTTCCTGTTTCGACTGGGTTTTCATTTCATGGCTTTTCTTCTGGAGCTCCAGAAATTTCTACAAGATTAAGAAAGGCAAATAAGTATTTTTTTATTTATTTTCCTTTTTTAAAAAAGGAAATATTATATGACATGCTGAGAAATGTTGTCCTAATATCTTATTTATCCACAGGTCTTTGTTACACCTATGCATATAAATTACATACCTACTTATATACACACACTATATATGCATATAATAACATCATACCATTACATTAAACTTATCAATGAGAACATCCAACTCTGATGGTATTAAACAAGAATTGGCTCTTTCCTCACCTCTTTCTACATCCCAGGATTATTCAAACTTGACAACTTTCTCCTGGGACATGACACTGAATACACTTATGCTGGTTGTAAGCTCCTGAGCTATTCCATGCATTGTTATTGCCTAGCTGGTAGCTGGATTCCAAGCACTGCTGACAGCCTAGTCCTTGCACAGCTATCTATCTACATGGACTGAAATTCTGTGTACATATTTCCTCCTACATGGAGGATAGAGGAGAGTAGCTAGTTTTTCCTAATTCTCATTTTGACTCAAAAAGCCTAAAACACAGATCACTTTGTTTATACTCACTTTTTCAGTCTCTACATGCAAAGGAAAATCGAGGGATTATAAGCAACTATGAGTCTGAATGCCTGCAACTAACCCCTACAGAAAGCAGGGGGGCACATCTGTACTTCAGATACATATCACCAGTGCAGTGGCTGACATACTGAGCTCCAAATCCTTCCAACTGATGTAGAAAGCAGCTACAAAGAAGCTCTGAGCCCATCTGCTACCAAAACACTAGTCTTTACACAGTTATCCAAACATCTTCCTGCTGTGCCACCAATCACCACTGCACTAGGGGAGGGGAAAAAAAAGTCACTTCCTATGTAAATACCTGCTCACCTTACTTGAAACAAACTAAGATATATTATGGCAAATGCATTTTGATCACCCTCTATATTATTTCAGGTTTGGATATTGAATATTCAACAGGGAGTTATCTGGATTTAAAAAGTAGCCATTCATCTTTGAGTATGGTGCATTCATGCTCTGGATAACTGGAGACCTGTAACAATACCCACGTTCCACGTATGTAAAGAAATTCCAGAAGGGCATGGCCGAGATTCATTTTCTTCAGGTATTGCAGATATCACAACGGGCTCCCTGGTGGCATTACTTTCAGGTCTATTCTCCTGCAATTCAGGAACCTGAGCTCCTTCAACATCTTTCACATCCTCCTTTGAGAAGGAACTGTCTCCATCATCAGAACTTAAGTCAACATCGCTTTCATTCAGTCCTGGAGGCAACAGTCCACTCCACATCTCCCAGTTTAAACAAGCCCAAGCCACTTCAGGTCACTGCAAAGACATCAGAGGTACATCAGGTAACCCTTTCCAAGACAGAAACATCATCAGCCTGTAGAATAAAGAAACAGCAAAACACATAATCACAAATATTTCAGCATCTCTTGAGAGAACTAACATCAGACGTTTGAGACAGACACCTATAAAGCTTCTATACTTACTATTTCAGACAGAAGCGGGGGATTTCCTGTTCTTTAGTTTTACCACCTCGCACTTGCTTACAGCTGCTTTCTGCTTAAGGGCTCTATGGCAGCAAACGCCTCCCGCCTCTCCCCACGGGCGGCTGAGAGCACGTCCCAGCCTTCCCCGCACATAACCACCGCCTCCCCTCGCCTGGCCGGGTACTGGTGCGCTCCGCCGGCCCCGAGGGAAGGACGAAGAGCAGAGTCCGCTGTGGAAGGCAGCGAGCCGAGGGCAGCAAACACAGACAAACAGCGCTGTAAACGGCGACAGGACAGCACAGACGGCACCTCCGGACCCCCACCGCCCAGCAGCACCAACACCGACCTTCCCCTACCGTGTTTACCTGGCCGCCATCTTGACACAGCCTAGCACCACACCCGCCGGTTGGACTCTGCCCCGCAGCCAATCAACGGGCGCGTTGCTGCCGTGGGCCCGGCCTCTCACGGCGCCATGGCAACGAGGGAGGGCAGGCGGCTGCGGGGCAGAAGGGTTGGGTCGGCTGGGGCGGTGGTGGGGGCGTCCTGGACAAGGGGGGTGCTGCTTTCCTGGGAGGGTGGAGGGGGTCTCCCCTTGGGGCACCGGAGTCTCCCTTGGGGGCACAGACACCCCACCCACCACCCCTCGCAGTGGGGTCGCTCTGGGGAAACAGCAACTTACTGGCACCCAGGAGGGCTGCCGAAGGTTCCGATGGCCCAACGCCTGTGAGGTGGTTCTGTCAGAATTAAAAGCAGTGCTCTGGAAGGACAGGTGACGGGTTTACTGCAGTCTTAACTTGCCATAAAGGAGTATGGTGTCTGTTCCAAAAGTAAACCTTGGAATTTGTACTATGCCTAAGTGTTTACGCAGGGACAAAGTGGCTAGGGTCAGCAGCCTTACTCTGCAAGGGTGGAAAAATCCTTTCAAAGTACCCACTAGTGTCTTGGATTAATGTGGTAAAGAGAAAACTTCAAAAACACTGGTCGCACACCTTGTGGGGTGGTTTGCTGTAGGTTGTCCTCCAGCGTAAGAGTTTTCATTCTCCTTAAAGTTCTCCAAGAATGTGGGAAAGCTCTTAGAAACTCGTCAGGAATTCTGAGCCAGATAGCACTGTGCTAAGGTGCTTCAAAGGTGAACAGTAATGCAGAGTGTGTAGTAAAGGACTTGCTTATTTGGGGATTCTCTTACACATTCTCCTTTCAGCTTTCACAGATGAGGCAGACAAAACGAGTACTGTGGAGCAGCCTGAATATGATTCAGCAAGAACATCTTGCCTATAAGCATCAATAGGAAGGGAGGCACAGAGAAACTGCAAGATGATGAAGGGATAAGGCTGACAATAGATGAACACTGAAGCATGTCTGAAACGTGGGAGGTCTCATGGTGGAAATAATTTGTGAGAAGATGCATTTTTGAGTGATGATTCAGCAGGTTGAAAACTGAATCTCAGTATCAAGACTTCTGACAAAGGAATTGCTGACACCAAATCAGGACACAACCCAGCTGTGGACAAACAGTGCAGCCATGAGGGGAATAAGAAAGGGGCAAGAGTTTAAGCGTTACAGAGATGGATAATGGGGAATATTACGGTTTTGAGTAGGGACTTCTTGGTGGGCCACAGCTTCTGGGGTTGGCCGTACATGGAAGGAAAAAATAAGCATGTTTCTCATGGACATAAAATAGATCTTCAGCTTCATTTCCTTTTAATGCCATAATGTAACATCCTCAGATTCATTTCTAAAATCAATTAATTCCATAAGTAATCACTTCTTCATGAGCTACATGTAAATTTCACACTCGGCTTGCTAACTACAGTCTCCTCTCATCTGGTAAATCGATTTTTAAGAGGTCTGTTTTTGTTTACATTTAATAATTGATTGCATTTGATATACAGATAGGTGGCAATTGATAAATGTATTGATATTAGATGCTCATTGCCATTTGTTCTAGCAAGATGTTACACCATTATGCTGCATATTTTCTTAATGTGAGCAAATCTGAGAATGCTCCAAATATTGAAAGATATGTGACATTTTTGTGACCTGTAAAAGCATATGTTTGATAGGAATACATTTTCAGAAGGCAAGTTTAATTTCATGACAGAATGTGTATCCAAACGTGCTTCTTATTTAGTATCTACAAGACGATTTGTGGCACACATGAGCAGTGGTAGCACACACGAAGTACTCAGATGTTCACCTGCATTTTATTTTACAATTACAAATTCATTGCATTTGTAATATAAAAAGCCAAATTTCAGGGTAATCTCAGGTTCTCCTGCAACAAATTCTGACTTCTCACTGGTGGTTCTGTGAGAAAAAAGGCGAAAAGAGCTTCTCCCTGGCTTTAAGCAACCCAGAAGCATTTGGATTCAAAAGGTCAGTGACTGCTACAAAAGAGGTTGTTGGCTAATTACTGCTTTTTGTTGAAATGATTTGTAGCGTCTTTTTATCTGGGGAAGAAAGAAGGTAGCACACCCTTGTGAACAGCACTGATGCTCCTACGTCAAATTGGAAGGGCTGCTATTGTTAGAATCATAGAATAATTAGGGTTGGAAAGGACCTTACAATCATCAAGTTCTAACCCCCCTGCCATGGGCAGGGACACCTCACACCAAACCATGCCACCCAAGGCTCAGTCCAACTTGGCCTTGAACACTGCCAGGGATGGAGCATTCACAGCTTCCTTGGCAACCCATTCCAGTGCCTCACCACCCTGACAGTAAAGAACTTCCTCCTTATATCCAACCTAAACTTCCCCTGTTTAAGTTTAAATCCATTACCCCTTGTCCTATTACTACAGTCCCTCAAGAAAGGTCCCTCCCCAGCATACTTATAGGCCCCCTTCAGATACTGGAAGGCTGCTCTGAGGTCTCCACGCAGCCTTCTCTTCTGCAGGCTGAACAGCCCCAACTTCCTCAGCCTGTCTTCATACGGGAGGTGCTCCAGTCCCCTGATCATCCTCGTGGCCTCCTCTGGACTTGTTCCAACAGTTCCATGTCCTTTTTTATGTTGAGGACACCAGAACTGCACACAATACTCCAGGTGAGGTCTCACAAGAGCAGAGTAGAGGGGCAGGATCACCTCCTTTGACCTGCTGGTCACGCTCCTTTTGATGCAGCCCAGGATACGGTTGCTTTCTGGGCTGCGAGCACACACTGAAGCCAGCTCATGTTCGTTTTCTCATGGACCAACACCCCCAAGTCCTTCTCTGCAAGGCTGCTCTGAATCTCTTCTCTGCCCAACCTGTAGCTGTGCCTGGGATTGCTCTGACCCAGGTGTAGGACCTTGCACTTGGCATGGTTAAACTTCATGAGGTTGGCATCAGCCCACCTCACAAGCGTGTCAAGGTCCCTCTGGATGGCATTCCTTCCCTCCAGCGTATCAACCGAACCACACAGCTTGGTGTCATCGGCAAACTTGCTGAGGGCGCACTCAATCCCACTGTCCATGGCAGCAACGAAGATGTTGAACAAGACTGGTCCCAACCCCGATCCCTGAGGTACACCACTCGTTACTGGTCTCCAGCCGGACATTGAGCCTTTGACCACAACCCTTTGCCTGCAGCCATCCAGCCAGTTCTTTATCTACTGAGTGGTCCATCTAAAGTTTTGTTCCAAAACTTGATTCAGTGTCAAATTCTTCTCATGCCAATTTTCTGTTCCCCATTGAGCAAGTATTCAAATAGTCTGATTTATTTCCTTTTGGTCAACTGATCTAACTTCCTTTATCGCTTGAGCTCCTGTCCTGGAGGCCTGCCAAACAATGACTCCTGTGAATGAATTGAGTCATACCTCTGAGATTCCGATGGAACATCAAACTAGTGCAACATTGTATTTGCTGGTTAGGTATTTGTGATGCTATTATTAAAAAATACTTGAAATTTAGAAGGAAAACCTATTGCAATTAGATGTAAAATCAAGTTTAATTTGGATTCCAGGATCTCTCTGAATTTTCAGGTTCTAGGTGATTATATCTCTATTGCCTATCTGTACTATCTGGTGTTGGATATTTACAGACACTGCTTTGAGGCCCAGTTAGTTTGCCTTGTCAGATGTATGGTAGCAATAGGAATATGAGTCTCCTGACTTGGGAATCCCTGTAGAGCAAAGCATATGCTCTCAGGAATTGAAAAGAGCAGCTTTGGTGGTTTGGTCTTTCTGTGTTACTGTAGAGTAACAGTATTAGTGTATAGCACTGTGGTACTTCTAGTTCATGCTATCCTGAGGTAGTCTTAAGCAAGTTTGCTTTAGAAGGGGATATCTTGTATTCATTTGGGTAACCAGGCTGTGCTTTTGGTGCAGTTTTTACTTCTGGTACTGTTTAGGATAGACTCTGTACCACCACCACATTCAGCAGTGTGCTTGAAGCCATTTAGCTAATCTTAAATAATCATGTGCATGCTTATTTCCAAACAATATATGCAGTTTCCTACTACAGAAATGGAGTCTACTACAACATAAATTATGCATTATTTGTTGTTTCTTTTTGTTTAGGAGTAAATGAGGACATGAGGTACTTCTTACACATGGAAATATGCTGCATTTTATCCTTTTGAGACAGTATTTTGGAAATATGTCAAAATCATCAAGAACTGAATTCTTGTTTAAACATAATGGGGAGGCCGTATTGTATTAGCAGATTACAGTCATTGTGTTAGTATAGTATCTACCTTGTATTCATTTTTGCTAACACAATGAGAAATTTTTCTGGCATGATTATATTTTAATACAATCAAATAGTGTTGGAAAGGAAAATAAATATGATTTTAAGAGAGATGTAAAGACAATAAAATAACCTCTATTTTTTCCTAAACTTCCCATTTGTTGCTAACTTAAATACTTTTTATTAATCCTTTCAAATAATTATAATCAGGTGAGCCTTTAAAGTCAGTTAAAAGGATTACAGAGGGTTTTTTCCTCCAGGTAAGATCTAAGATCTAAGCAGGTGTGGTCAGATGCTTCTAAATTTGCTTGTTTGAGCTCACTACATAACTGAGCAATGTAGGATCAAGCCCTGAGCTTTTACAGAAAGGATTGTCATAGCATCATATAGTTTTCCTCTGAGGTTTGCATTTGATGAAACTTCTGTCCATAGATACAGAAAACAACTGTCTGTGGTTATAAGCATCAGCAGCACATGAGAAAGTTGCTTTGTCTACTGTTTCAAAACAGGCACCTCTAAAGTATTAGCACACAGTTAATATTCAAGGAAGAAGTAAGCCCTTTTGTTCAAGATTCCTGATTGAAACTTGGGAGGTCTGCACTCAGTTGTCATCCTTACCACAGGCTTCCTGTGAGGAATGAGCAAGATATTTTAGTACAGCTTTAGTACCTCACAGGTAGAAAGAGTTTTCATCACCCTTGTCTACTGCAAGCATAAACTCTTCAGGTTTTGATCCTGCTTAGGCTGTTGAGGGCACTGACAGACACTGTCAGGTGCTGCATTAGAAGGCTGAAACTGTCAGGCCAGTTTTCAAAGGGTCAGCCTTCATAACACGTTACCTTCTACTCAACTGAGGATGTGCGGTCAAGTGATGACACCACCACAGCTTTCAGTTGTGTAAATTGTGTGGATTAATTCTCATTATGACCATTGAATAGTTTAGCATTTTAGCACCTGATTCAAAATCAGATCAGATTTTGCTTCAGGAGTGGTGAGACTGCGGGTATGGATAAGGAAGAGGGGAATGAGCACAGAGAAGTTTCAGCCAACTACTTTTAAATTGCCACTGAAGGACTGTGACATGTCTTAGATACTATTTCAATCCAAGCAGCAAATGACAAATAGACTAATTTTGTGTGTACCCATACCAACCTTAACCTAACTTGCTTGGATCCCAGCAATGGTGGGGCAACAAGGGAGTGAAAGTTCACTTCTCATTAAGTGCCATAGCACTTACTCAGCTGCTTGTGCTTGCCAGCCTACCCCATGTTGCTACAACTACATTTGTTACTTTGAGATATATTTTAGGGAACCTGCAGCCATATGGTTCATTGCAATGTAGACATCACCCCTATCTGAAGGGCTTCACCTAGCATAGGACAAATTTCAGTAATTCAAACATATCAATCTCAATTTCGTCGTGATGAACACAAAGTCCATCTGGTAGATTGGGCTCTTGGGTACATTTCCTCTGCTCTAGCAATAGACCTTTCTGCCATATCAGTAAATGATATACCATCTGCCTGTTTTTCAAGAGAGTCAAAAAGCCATTTTCTCAACCTCTCAGTTTTTTTTCGTACTAGTCAGTGCTATTTAGAAGCGCAATAGTGAGCCTTGCAGCTAGGAGTTCCTTCTTTGGCACTTGGATATGGAGCTAGGGCAAGTCATCTAACCTCTCCTTCGTTTAGTTTGGGAAAGAAATAACACTGTTTCAACTTTTCATGGTTATTAGGTAAAATTAATTAGTGTTTGTGCTGCAATACAATAGGTAATTGCAAAGTCTCATAAGAATCTCGATCTTTTTAGCTTTATTTTGTGTTGATTTAACTTTGAAGTTTTGATACTGCATACCGTATTTGAAATGTGCTATTGTTTCATTTATATATAAATAACAGCTGATGTTTCACGCTGCTGTAATGAACCTATTTAGTCTCTATGTGTACCAATGCCCTCTACTGGTTTTAAACACAATTGCTCAGCAGTGGGTACTGCCATTCTCCTGTATGGGGAAACATA